CAAGATTCATTCTATTAAGTTACTTGCATTTACCTCTGCAGTAATACGAAGACTTCAAAAACTCGGCCACTATTGTTGATCATTTTCATTATTCATCAATCGTTCCCACTCATAAATTTCCATCGCTTGACAATTTTGAAGCAATCGCTTTGAGAGTGTATAGCAAGACTGCTAGCATGATAGTACAATTGCTTATAGCAATACGATTGTCGAAAATTATCCAAATTATTGTGCTATTTGAAATAATACGAATGGCCATGATAGATCCGCTAAAACAAATTCCGCCAAACGGATTTGCAACAGTATTTTCATATTGTCCTATAGAGGTTGTTAGGAAATTAACCTGAAGGATTTATTGCGCTATATGAAATGATTTGATAATACAATCGATATGCACACGAAAGGAAAGAAATGAAAGATTTGGAGTGAAAGACGTAGCGAAGCACCGAATTATTGCTATGCTATAAAATCGCTGAGCCGTTGTGACCATTAAAGCAACGAACGCATTTCTCTCTTCTGTTTGTTGATTTATAAACAAATTGTTGTTTGAAGTGAATGGCATCGTGGAACGTTCAAACAACATACAATTGTCTTTGTAAAAAAAAAGAAATCATATCATTTTACACTTATTAAAAAAGAAAAATTAAATAAACACTTTATAACAAACTATGGACTTTATAAATTGTTTATGAAATAAGTAAGTAAGCTGATATATTCCCTCTTAAGTCTTGTTAGCATTATAGATGAAAAATCAAATTTGCACATGTATAGGTAAGTTTGATCTTGAGCGTTTTGTGCGTCTTGATCTTGATATCATTTCTTTTGATAGACTTTGTTCTACGTAATACTCGTCTCCATGTCGTCATCCGAAGCAAGCCAAAAAGCACTGAATTCGACTGCAACCATTCACTAAAAAAATTTTTGGGGCTTACTCATTGAAAATCATTCGTTTTAGGTTAGCTATATGTGCGGCTTCAAGTGCATTTATTGGATTGGTCTTCTTCGTCGTTGGTCTCATCGGCGTTGCTAATGAATCGGTATACGTATGTTTTTCAAATACGTCTCCATATGACTGCTTCCCGGATGAGAACTATTAACTAGAGGCGTTCAGAAGGAAGGCGAGAAATGAAACGAGAACAAATCTACCAAAATGGGGTGGTTGTGCAATAAGTGCCCAATTTTTTGATACTTTCATGATTCTGTCTGAATTTGCGGTCATCACTCACTTATGCGAGACATGTTGCATTCAATAGATGAGCAGTTAATATGAGGAGAGGGGTTAAATTTGAAGTAAGTTGGTGGAATTGAACGTGTTATTTGTTATGCGCATCAAGTTAGACACTTCAGTGTGCATTCTAGTGTGCAACAAGCAAATTGCCTCTGTGCTTTTCTAACGTTCTCATAAGGGGACTGATTAGATTGGTTCTGATAAGGTTATTATCGACAGCTGCGATTATTTACATTGATATGACGTGATTTGTACTGAACGCATTTTTCATCGTTAACACCCAACACTGTAGCAAAGCAAAATTCTGAGTGATAATAGCAGCAATACCCGTCTGATTGACTTTGAAACATTAGCACACACCCCAAATCATTGATCATAAGGTTCTTCTTCAGTTCATTCCCTCATGATCTTTAATCATGAGGGAAGGAACTGAAGAAGAACTTACACGAAATGCTCATTTGCTAGTCGGAGTGTTTCAGTCGAGAGCTCGCGATTGGATATTTTTGAGTTTTGGTTTGGCGATGCTCACGATTGGTTTCTCACTGTTGCTGTTGTGTCGAATCCGAATAAATATAGCACGTCAGCGACAAACACAAAGCAGACACAGACGCCATCGACGAAGGGGCACAAGGCCCGTGAATGGTCATGATCCTTTATCTGTCTGGGCCACTGATTTATCCGACTGGAATTTCTACACATCTCAACCACCACCTGACTACGTTGAAGCTTTACACTGGTGAGTTACTTCATACAGTTCAATTAAAAACCCAAAAATAGTCCGTTCTGTTAGGCTCTCAAGTGAATTCTATTTTCTTGTATCTGAGTGATCATCGGATACTTGCACAATTTCTTCCTTCTGTCTCTGCCGCGAAAATCTTCGATAAATTCGAGTGCTCGTCGATCATCGAAATTCCCTGAATGACTGACTGCAGACAAGATTCCGTTTGAGAACTGGGAATATTCATTTTCAATCAGTTGTATCTGAAGAGAATCGGCATCTCGAATATCGATGACACTTGACTGAAATTTACTTCTGCAAATTTGTGATTAGAAATGATCCAGAATCAGTGCATAAAATTGAATGAAAGTTCATTTCAGTTCACCATCTTTAGTCCCGCAACGCCGGGCAACTGTATCAGCTGCAAATCCCCCACCTTATGCGCCATCGGAAGGGGTGACACGTCAACAATCGAGGTCAACACTCATTTAAGCTCTTATTCTACCCTCCTTGATTCGTGCCTCAATTCAGTTGTGACGGTGTTACAGTTTGCTGTATATTTCATGCTCTATTATCATCACACAGTGTCATCATTCCAACTCGACAGCAGCATGTGCATCGCGAATAACCAGAAATTATCCGAACACGAGACTTGCACGCTCTTCGATTGCCTCTTGTAATACAAATCGTGCATCTCGGCTTAAAGATATACCTAATTTTACCACTGAAATGTCTCGCTCTCGTCATAGACAATGCAAAATTGCTTTCAGAGCTGCCCTTTGACAATGAGATGCTCATGCACAAGATTTTGCTTTTTTGCTTGAGACACACTCAACTGCTCAACGCGATTCAACAGTAACTTTGCCTTCAATTGCTTGCCATTCATACTCTCGTTGAGAGTCCAATATAATACAGAACTATTGACATTGTTGGTGATGTGTTTCGGCGAATTTACATGAATCGACTTTTTGCCTTCATTTATTGTGGTGCTAATGTGTATGTGTACGTGTTTATGTGTTTTGTGTACAGAACTTTTACACACCGGCAAAATGACGATGTGATTAAACGTTATTGTGTGTGCTTGAATAAAGTTTTCATTCATGCCGCACTCAGCTCTATTCTCGGCAAATACTTTTTCAAAAAATGGATATGACACTTTAGTCATCCTTGACAGACACTTTTCATCAAGAGCAATCATTGAATCGATAATTTTACATGATTTATTTCATTTTTGTTGATAATTTCATCGATGCGACCAATCGCATTCGATTTTTTAAAAAGACAAATGTAATCATTTTAGTCATTGACTTCAGCGATTGTTTATCACTAGGAAAGGCCGAAACACCGTGATACCGTGCAAAAAAATGCCGTGGATTCGCACTTGTTTACATAGAGGTGATTAATATCGGCAATTTCATTCCCCCTACCGCAGACTTAAGAAAAATATCATAATCCCTCACTACTTTCATATCAATCATTCACTATACATATATTTATCTAATTAACAATCAAAACACTGATTTTTTTACAATTTCTTATCAAAATTTTAATAGGATTTGATAACTTATCCAAAAAAC